AAGCTGACCCTCCGTGTGGGGTTTCCGAGGCTGTAAACCTCACAGCCAGCTGGTGAGTCAGAACCAGCTCAAAGCTGACCCTCCGTGTGGGGTTTTCGAGGCTGTAAACCACACAGGAGGAGACAGTCCATCTTTCCCCCTTTGACTGGACGGTGGGTTTGAATCACAAAAAGAACACAGCCTTTCAGTGAACACAGCAGCCCCTTACAGGCTACACCACCAGAGGTCTTGGCAGTTTATGTGTCTGTGTCCTGTTTTCCGTTAACTGATTTCTGACTTTACAGATCATTTTAGTACACTTGGGTTTTTTTCAAACAGGATAGTTTTAAGAGTACACTTCAGAAAAACTGCCTTTCGGGGCATTAGTACAAGTAAACATATTCCTTTACATAAAAATTTTAAAGTCCATCCAGCACAGATCAGGTAGCTAAGCCAATTTCTGCTAATTTTATTTCTCATTCCTTAATGCGTCTAATTATTACAGTATAATATAGTTACTCAGCTTAGATTTGCAAAGGCTAAACATGTTGTAAGGAGGGAGAGGTCCTTGGAGAGGGACATCATGCTTGATAGGGTGGAGGGGCAGCACAGGAGAGGAAGGCCCTCTATGAGGTGGATTGATTCAGTGACTGGGGTAATCGGGATGGGAGTGTCAGAGACAGTGCGATTGGCTCAGGATAGAGGAGAGTTTAGGGCTTTTGTACATAGTGCGCTATGAGTCGCACTAAGCGACTCGATGGCACATAGTAACAACAACAACAACAACAAACATCCATCATTCAAATGAAAATTAAGATAGCACATGGCCAGATGTTTTTTCCCTTTGTTACAGAAGGCCATGGGAGGACGACTCTATGTTCAAACAACCACAAACAGTATATTTCTCCAGCCAATGTGTCCTCCCCTGTCTCCAAAAAAGCTGTAGTTTCCTACACTCAGGCAAGGCAAGCATTTTCTGGTTCTTTCTTCTTTTATATTACCTTCCTGAGGACTTCACGTATTCATTTTTTTTGTTTGTTTTGTTTCTTTCTTTAGCCTCAATCCCTGACACATCATTAAAAACGAAAGCACCCTTTTATGTCTACTCTCTTGGCTATTATTGTTCTATACCTGGCCTGATTTTATTAAGACCACCTTAACTCTCTGTACTACCGCCCTGGCCACACTTACGATATATTCCTTTACTCTATAATATTGCCTTGATGACTACTGCCCTTTAAATTTTTTTAAAAACAGCAATTATGGGCAAAAGGTTCCAAGTGCCCATTATACAGCTTCCCGCCAATGGTGGCACTTTATGGAAATGTAATGCACTATCAAAACCAGGAAATTCACTGGCACAGTACAATTAACTATATAGTCTGTTAGGATTTTGGAAGCAGGAGTGTCATCCACAGAAATTACTAGAGGAAAACTTCCCAGACATAATGAAGAATGAGAGAATATATATTCAGGAAGCTCAGCGAACACCATATAGATTCGACCCCAAAAG